GAAGAGGGCAGTGTGTGGTGGAATGTCTGGTTTTTTTGGCAGTGGGAAAAATACCTGACATGGATTTTGGTTTAATTTTAAAAGGAACCTGTTAGAATTAGGTATTTGAAGAGTTGGTGAACAAGTTCCTGTCACAAGTGATGCAGTCTGGTGATTAATGATTGGTGATTAATTCCTGGCAGCACTGATTTCTTAACAGAATTTTTAAGACTTCCACCTCACATTTATTATTTGAAGAGTATAAAAATACTATCAGTCATAGTTAGGAATTCCTTTATTCCTTATCAAAACAATCTAACAGTAAATGTAGATTATATGCTTTTATTCTTTACATGTAAGTTATCTTTTCTTTGGAGATATCATTCATCAGGACTCTGTCATGTTCATACCTTGCCCTTCTAGTGAGAGGATAAAATTTTACAGTCATCTTATTCAAAGAACATGGCAATTATAACAGACCAAAAAAGCATGGAACCTAGGCAGGAGAATTTTTCCACATACAAACATTTAAACTTTTTTCCAGTACAAAAACATCTGTGTTGTTACTTTAGAGATGACTATGAGTCATAAGGTCTTACAGACAATCCAGGTGAAGTCTCAGCAAGTATTTTAGGTAAATCCGAGTGACTTGAAATTCAGGTCAGAACTAAATATTCAGTGTTTTCTTTATTGCAAATATGATGTCTTTAACCTGAGGTACAGAATTGTCTTCTAGAATCTTTGCATAAGGCATAGGGACGTCAGCACCGGTGACTCGAACTGCAGGAGCATCCAGGAAATTGAATGCAGGGCCTAGGAGGGAAGGAAGCTCAAGTGAGAGGCATGACGAACCAGCCGAGAGCCACCACCTCAGCACAGGTATGTCTGCCCAAAGAAGGAAATCTGAATGGAACGCTAATTATGTAGAACTGTTTCTGGTTTTGCTTTTTAAAACATTCACCCAAAGGAAAAATACCAAGCTACAAGTTGAAAATTCAAGTCATTTGACCACCCCTAGCTTTCAATCTTTTTGTCCTGTAACACAAGGTGGATTACAGCTTGAGCATTCTGGAATCAGTTTCTCTGAAATACCTTCCATGATCCTGGCACAAATTTCAGCTCCTACTCCGAACTGTGGCCAGCCTCCTTCCACAGTTACGAGATGATTGGTCTTCATGACACTGGCTTCTATTGTTTCAATGTCCATTGGTCTGATGGTTCGCATATTTATCACCTGAACAAATATGATAAATAGTAAGCTTTACAGAACCACTGGCTCACAAATACAGTCACATCCCCATAATACCACTTCCCTTCCTGTTTCCTGTTAATCTCTGGGTCTAGGGAAATCTAATCTGCCTATTCATGAGCAAAATATCAAAGGGGAAACTGTAATTACAACAAAAATCTTTCTACTAGAAGCAGCTCTGTTAACTTACAGAACTCACTCATCCTCCCTTGGCCTTAACTTCCTCATCAAAATAACTAATGTGACTATTTACCATATACCAGCCACTACACTAAGTGTAATTCTCACAGCCAGCCTGATGGGACAGTAAATGTATTATCCTCATTTTACAGCTAATGAAACTGAGATTTAGAGTACGTAACTTGCCCAAATGTAACTAGCAAGTGGTACATCCTGGATATGAAGGACTTAAGAGTCAACGACTTCTAAGTTCTCCCTTCTCCCAAACTCCACCTCCAAGGTTGGACCTTAATTTGACAAAGCAGATACTAAAAAGATCCAGAACCTAGGTGGTAAAAAGCTAGGTATGTGAAAAGCAAGTAGCTTTAAATTAAGCAGAGGCAGAACTAAGTGACAAAGCAAGATTTTATATCTGAGTAACCTGTTATAGAACTCAAACTCCTCTTTCTGGGTCTTAAAGGAAACTTTCTGATTCTTTAAGAACAAGTGAACGTCCACTTACCTCACATTCAATTCCCTCTTTAGACAGCACTGTTGCAGCTTCTAAGGAGTGGCCCACAGGTCTTGAATGGGAAACTATGGTTACGTGTGTCCCTGAAACAAAGTGGTTACAGATGAGAAGTCAGGTTGAAACTAAAGACACTGTCCCGCTCTGTAGCCAGCTATGGCTCTTGTTCATTTGTGAAATCTTAAACTCAACTTCATTCCAGTGAAATGAGGAACATGGCAGCCTTCCTAGAAACGAAATACAAATCTACTGGACTGAGATTCAGAAAGCACAAGTGTATGAGCAATCATGGCATGATGCATTTTAAACTTGAACTCATCCTGTAATTTCCTAGTCAAAGTAAAAGGCAGTAACTTCTAGACTGAATCTGATCAATAGTAAGAGAGAACAGATTACAAATAACATTTAAATGTATACTAAGTTCTCTTACCTTGCCTTTCTATTTTGGCTTTTCCAATAGGAATCAGAAAATCTTTTGACTGAGCTTCCGAGGGAAGTTCAAAAGGAACTCCATACATCAGTTCATTCTCCAGCATCACCACTGCAAAATGTAAATATTTAAACAAAAGTAACTACATGACTAAAATGTACGTACAACACCATCATTCATTTTTTGAGAAGTTTCACTTGATTAGGAAGCCTCATACATACTGTGTCCAGGAGCCAGGAGGATGGTTTAGGTACTGACGTCTGTAAGCTGGTCAGTCTTAATTTTACCTATGGGCTTAATCCAGTGTTGTAGGTATGGAGTAAGTTTCTCCTTTACCTAACTGGCTCCCTTACAGTCAAAAATAAGAAAAACATTTTCCCCCTATCTTTACTGTGTCTGTAAACCATTAACATTTTTTATATGTCTAAGCTTAACTAGCAGGTTTCCGCCATGCAGATATTTCATTTTAGTTCTTTAATGTTCAAAGGAGCCCCACAGGGCACTCTACTGACCTGGATTGTTATCCCGAATGGCTGATTTAATAAGTCCTTTGGCATCCTCTGAACTCCAGGGGCTGACCACCTTTAAGCCTGGGCAGTGTCCGTACCAGGCAGCAAAGCACTGGGAGTGTTGGGCAGCCACGCCAGCTGAGGCACCATTGGGCCCCCTGAAGACTATGGGCACAGACTGAAGGCCCCCCGACATGTAGTAGGTCTTGGCAGCTGAGTTTATAACCTGGTCAATGGCTTGCATAGAGAAATTGAAGGTCATAAATTCACAAATGGGCCGCAACCCAGCCTGTCAAGTCAAAAACACAGATGTTAAAAAAGATTAGAAACAGCAATGAAGAGTGGCAAACAACCACTTTGCTCCCCCCACCTTCAATCAATGTTTTTAAAAGGTCAAGTTAAAAGAAATCTGAGATTCATGAAGAGGACTACGTACCATAGCTGCACCTACGGCAATTCCGGTAAAGCCCATCTATAAAATAAAACACAACATAAGTAAAACTCCACAAAAAATTAAAACTGTACACTTTAACAGACATGCCCCCCAAAGGACTGCCTCTAGACAAGGGCTTACCTCAGATATGGGAGTGTCGATGATCCTCTTATCTCCGTATTTCTTCCACAGACCTCGACTAACCTACAATTAAGCATTGACCCCATTACTTTTAAGTGTACTGGGGGCCAACAGCCACTTCAATTTTGCATAGCTTTCATGTATCTTGGTTACCTTATATGCCCCATCATACTGGGCAACTTCTTCCCCAAGCAGAAATACCTTCTCATCTCTTTCCAGCTCTTCATCCATACCTTGATTTATAGCCTCACGAACTGTCATCTGTCACATGTGTGAGAAAACAGTCAATAAGCTTCAGGATTACTTAGGATACTAGTGAGATTGTCTCCCTTTACCTATGCTGCCCATAACATACAATATAAAAACTATCACTGCAATAGGCTTTTCTTTAAAAGTTCAAAGAATAAAAGTAACATGTCTATCACACACAGCCAGTCTTTGGTTGGTTGTGTAAATGAGTACACTGAACTTTTCTTTATGTGCACCTAAGACTGCAAAATCTGCCTGCTGGCCAGATCAGCTCATAGGTGGTTTCCTGAATAGAGTATACTGGATAGTTTTATTTCCACATTTGGTACACTGTGCAGCAGAGAACTGTTAAGGAAGCCTAAAGACTACTACATATTGAGCACTCACTAGGTGCCAGGCACTGCCAAACACTTTTGCCAACCCAAATGTCCCATCAAAAATTAATGGATAAACAAAATGTGGTATATGTCTACAGTGGAATATCATTCGGCCTTAAAATTCTGACACATGCCACAACATGGATGAACTGTGAAAACATGCTAAATGAAATAAGCCAGACATAAAAGGTCAAATATGGTATGATTCCATTTATAAGAGGTACCCAGAATTGATAAATTCATAGACACATAAAGTGTAACAGAGGTTACCAGGGATAAGGAGAAATGGGGAGTTACTGAATGGGTACAGTTTCTGTTTGGGATGATTAAATTCTGGTTGAGAATGAACAACAGGGTAAATGTACTTAGTGCCACTGAATATACACTTCAAAATGATAAATTTTGTTATGTATATTTTACCACAATAAAAAAAACTTAAAACGAAGGTTAGGTAAGACACGTCAAGGCCAGTTTCCTCAGATCGGCCATGATTCCATGGAGCCTCGCCGGGGTGACATGCGACCCCAGCCTCCGCGCCCGGGTAGCGTCCGGGCCAGTTACCTGCAGCGCCGCCGGCGCCGTCCGGTGGAAGCGCCTTCTCAGCAGCCCGGAGACCTGGCGGGGAGAGAGAGAGGACACTCAGAGGGGAGGCAGGGTGGGCAGGGATCGCGCAGCGCCATGGGGCCTGTGAGCCACTGCTTACCTGCTGGAGGGGTCTCTGCGCTAGTCCAGCCACCACCGCCATCTTGACCGTGTCCTCCAGCCGCCGCCGAATGACAACACAGCCGGGCCGCGGACGAGTCAGGCCCTGTCTCCGCGGGCCAATGGCAGGGCGCGTTGCCTGCGTGCCCCGCCTCCCCGTGCGTCAGGGGCCGAGGGGCGGGGCCGAGATGGCGCATGGATGATCCTGCCGCTCCGCCTGCGGCGGATTGGTATCAACTTTGAGAGCCGGTAGCTGCTGTCGCGCTTGGTTCACACCGGTGCACGCCGGCAACACGTCCCTGCTGTTGGGACCAAAACTCAGACTCAGCGTGACTCCAGGCTGGAAGGACCTTAAGAATTAGGCCAGGCTTCTGCAGGCACTGAAGTCTTTTGGGCACCAAGTAGCGCTTGTACACAGTATAGCGACTGGGAATTTAAATCTTACAGCAAGCCTCCTCTTCCCTGGACAGCACGGTCTCGGAATGTGAACCAGAGTTTTCCTCTGTGCCAGGCATTGTGTTAAGTGCTTTATGGCCCATTTAATTCTCACAAAAACCCTCTCAGGTAATTAGTGTTATTACTATTAGCTCCATTTCGCAGATGGGTAAAGAGAAGAGAAGGGATTGCTTAACTGAGCCGGGATTTGAATTTAGGACTGTCTGACTCTAAAGGGTAGTCTTTTCCTATTGCTTCCCGAAGTGTAAGGTGGGATCCCACCTGGGAGGAAGTTACAGTAACTTGCATTTAGAGAGGGCTTTATAGGGCCGAACACCTGACTAGGGAAGCCTCTGGAAGCTTCCTCTTTTCAGCCTCATTTCGGCCGCAGCGGGTGGGGTCTGGGGGAGGAGTCAGGCGGAACCTTTAGGGGCTTCCTCAGTCCTCATTCATCTGCAGGACATCCCAAAAATTCTTCTGAGGGCTGCAGGCTACTTGGGTTTAATCTAATGGCTCTGGGAAGCCAGTGCCTCAGTGGAGTGACTAGGTCACAGGAATGAGTCTAGATGCCGATTGAGAATGAGAGGAACGGAAATGAGGGTGGAAGCAGGGAGACGGTAGAGAGTCTGGACTAGAGGGCAGCTTCGCCATTTGAGATCTGTTTAGGACTGAAATCAGTAGGATTGCTGTGAGGAAAGGAGAAGAGTTGAGGAACATTTGGGGGGTTTTGTTGTTGTTGGATGGATGGGGGAGGGGAGGCGCCCGGAGCGGGTGGGAGCTAAGAATTCACTCTGAATAAACTATATTTAGATGACTGGGTCACACTTAGGTTGGATATAGTAGCCTGGAGCTACGGACTAGGTGGCGCTAGAGGTACAAATTTGGGCGCAGCTGCATAAAGATAGCCTTTGATCACTGGGCCTCTGCTTGCTCATCTGTAAAATGAAAAGATGGTCTCTAAGGTATGGAGTCAACACCTTCCATGTCTCTCTCACCAGGCACCATGGAGTAGTCCCTTAAGTCTGTGGACGAAATAAATGTGCACAATGTAAGAGCTGTGAGTTTTCGCAGAAGACTGCCTCTCAGATAGATCTGAGGAACTGCTTGGAAGAGGTAAGTGGGGATGTTAGCACATCTGTAATTCTGGGAAAGAGTATGCAATCAGGTACCCTTCTTGGTAGAAGGTTACTGCTAGTCACAAGGCACAGATATTTTAGTTAATGATTTTAGTCCTTTTCTAAGCATGGTAAGATGCAAGAAATTGGTTTCGTAAGCTTTTCCCCTGAAGATGTTGCAGGAAAACGGGGCACGAGAGGATGGCCATGTCCCAGGTCCCAGGTGAGTCCCTGGGACACGCCCCATCAAGTGAGTCCTTGGCTTCAAGAGTGAGCCATAGTTGAGTGAAAGTAGGTTTGATGCTGGATAAACAAACGGATGTGGGACGTAAGGAGGGCCGTGTCCCAGGTCTTGGTAGAGCCTCTGGGACGTGCCCCGCCAAGTGTGGGTCTTTGGTTTCCTGTGGGAAAGGATTCAAGAGCGAGCCATAGTTGAGTAAAGGTAGGTTTATTTAGAGAGAGACATACTGCATAGAGTGTAGGCTCTTTCAGAAGGCAAGAGAAAGGCCACGAGGTGTTGGGGTTGGGTGCTCGGATTAAAGTAGAAGTAGGTACACGCTCCATAGACAGAGTATGGGCCATCTCCAAAGATGAGGGAAGAAGAGAGGCTGCCAAGAGGTGTGGTGTTGCTCTCGGTGGTTTCATATGCTAACAAGTGGGAGGGCCATTCCAAGTACTCTGGGGAAGGGGCTGAAATTCCCTGGAATTTGGCCACTGCCCACCCTTTGACCTTTTATGATTTGCCTTGGAGCTGTCATGGCACCTGTGGAAGTGCCATTTACCATGTTAATATTACAATGAGCATATAATGAAGCTCAAGCTCTCCTAGAAGTCAAATCTCCCGCCAATTTGAGCCTCAAGGCCTACTGGGAGCTGAATCTTCCACCATTTCGTTGTTAATTGCTGTCATTTCTTCAGTGGCTGTGCCCTGCCCCCTTCCCTCCTGTCTCAGGTTTATTCAGGGAGATACTCCATAGTCAGAGTGCAGGAGGTCTCAGAAGGCAAGAGAGGCTGCGAGGGGTGGGAGTGTTTAAAATTAAGGTAGATACATGTTCCATAGGCAGAGTGTGGGCTATTGCAAGAGGTGAGAGGCAGTGACCTCAGCATGGGGTCCTCTAGGAAAGAGAGTGGCCACAAGGTGCGAGGGTAGTTAGTTTTTTGGGGGGTTTTGTTTTTGTTTTGTTTTTGTTGGGGGAGAAGTGTTTGTTTGTTTGTTTATAGAGGAGCTACTGAGGTTTGAACCCATGCACATTAAGCATGCGCTCTACCACTGAGCCCTGGGGGTGTTTAGTTTTTATGGGCTCGGTTATTTCATGTACTAATAAGTGGGTGGATTATTCCATCTACTTTGGGGAAGGGGCTGGGAGTCCCAGGAATTCGGCCACCACCCACTTTTTGACCTTTTACGGGTAGCCTCTGAACTGTCATGGCACCTGTGGGGGTGCCATTTAGTATGCTAACATGTTACAGTGAGCGTATAATGATGCTCAAGGTCTACTGGAAGTTAGATCTCTCCCATCTTGGGCCTCAAGGCCTACTGGGAGTCAAATCTTCCATTGCCGTGTAATTCTTTTAAAGGTTGTGCCCTGTCGCCTTCCCTCTTGTCTCAAAAATATCTAAGTATCAGAAGGCCTGTTCTGCCAGTTTTCTCAGAGCACAGAGTGCCTCATTCCCGATCTCCATCATGAACTCCTTTCAGGGTGTGCGGATGGACTGCGGTGGCTAATGACGCAATCCTTGTAGAGCCAGATGGTGATGGTGAATGACATTCTTGGCAAGACCTTGGCAGGAAACCCCAGCATTTCCCAGGCAGCCACTGTCCCTGGGAAACCCCTGAATTTGAGAATCCCCTCAGGGACTCCTGGGTTCTGCTTAGAATGAAAATGTGAGTCAGCTCTCCCATGTCTCCCACCATCCAGCACTGAAAGAGTTCAAGATTAAAATTACAGAGCAAAAGGAGACGTCAGGCTAAAGGAACAGTGACCCGAAGGGAAGCTGGAATCTGGACTGTGGTCCAGACAGAGGACAGTGTTCTTGCGCCGTATTTACACAGAGATCCAAAAAAGCCAGAAACTCCGACTCTGCAGCTAGTCTGGCCAGTTCAGTCAGGAAGGCAGCGGAGACTCCACAGGCCTCAGCCGGCCTCAGATGAGAACTTCCTTTTGAAATAATAACTGTGGACATTGCAGGCACATTAGGTGTATTCATCAGTGCATGCGCTTTCCTTTCAGACGCTATAAATGGCCAGTTTGGAAAAGCTAGGCATAGTTTTATGTTTCAGAGTAAAAGGCACAAAAGGTCAAAGTGCTGACTTTTAAATCTATAATCTTTTCAAAGCGAATCCCCATTCACACGCTCACTAGATTTTACAGAAGGGGGTTGGAAAGTGTAAGTTGGCCAACTAGGCCACTTCTTCCTCGGAATTAAATCTTTCCAAAGTTCCAGGAACATTTATCCTCAAGTCCCTTTGGGTTGTCAGTCGTCAAAAAGTCCTTTATCCAAAATTTTCCATTTCTATAGGTTTGACCAGCTTTGTTTTCTCTTTGGTCATTGCAGGCAAGGTTTACTCAGGAAGACTTTTCACTCCACCTTTTTAGGTGTAACTTAAACGCGTATCAAATACACATTCCCACCACCCCGGAATGTTCCTTCATGTCTCCTCCTATGTAGCTCCCCACACAGCACCTCACAGGCAACCCCGTATCTGATTTCCATCATCATATTTCAGTTTGCCAGTTTTAGAACCTGAAATAAGTGGAGTTATACACTGTATACTCTTGTGTCTGGCTGCTTTAGCTCAGCAAAATGTTACTGAGATTGATTCACCCATGTTGTTAAATATCAATAGTTTACTCCTTTTCTTCTTAGAACTTTTTCTTTGGAG